TGGACAGCGAGAAATCTACTTCCATCTGTCACAGCTGACACTAAATCTCTTTCTTAAGGCTAGGCTGCCCCGTTTGTCCAGAGAAGAGGAAATCTGCATCCATAAGCATTTTCTCTGCTCCCCGTTGCACCTATATGGCTGGAGTCAGCCCATGATCTGCAGTTTGCTCCTTTCATATTGTTCACCAAATTAAAGATGACATGGCTCGACACCAAAAAGAAAGGGTTTCCAAGCACATCGTATTCGATTACATCTACAGTCCATCACGCTGTCAACATCTTCCTTCTCAACTACAAAAAAAGACCCTTTCCCATGTAAGCAGTTCTTGAGTAGCGAAGACTTAATGGAAAACAGTGTGGAATTGGGTAAGACCAAAAGGGATTATGAGCCTAATGAAAAAAAGCTAGTGTGGCAATTCCCTCCCGCCCCCACATCAAGTCCAATACATTGATGTATCTGCTGGTCTCCAAAAACCAGAAAAGTTCATGTGAAAAAACACTTGATTCATTGACTTCCAAGTCACATTGCTATTGCTAGATCATTTCCCATATTTTCTGGGATAACTGTTGTGGGTTGCAACAGTGCGATAATACAGGCTGTGTGTGAGCACTGTTGTGGAGAAGACCAAGAGTTGGTCCTGCATGACACAGAGGACTGCCATTGCCCAGTTTGTAGCTGGTGCGACTCTTAATGGCAAGGAAGTCTCAATTCGGGTTCAGATGCAGGATGTAAAAATCACATCATCTCCCTCACCTCCCACCTTTTCTTCCTAACACTTCAATAAATGTCCAACAGATTCTCCCATTCTTCCTCTGCCCTAAGGAGGGAGGCCTCACAGCTGGCCTTCCTTATTCCTCTCTCCCAAAGAAATCTTAACGTTTATTCCAACTGGACAGTGTCCCACAATGACATTTAAGGGCACTTCATGATGTTTCAGGGGAATACCCACTTTTTAGTTATTTTTGATGAAAGAAGGGGAGGGAAGCACTAGACATGCCCATTCTGTATCTTATTCAGTAAACTAGCAAAGCTTAAACACCCTTTTAGCAAATGCTTCTGCAGTCACTCCAGCAAATATTGGGCTGTGGCTTGCAACAATCAAAGGAGAAGACACTAACAAAGCAAACAAACCCTTAAAAATGAGGGAACAGTTTACAAAGCCCTTGGGGTGTTTAGAGAAACATATTCCTCTATAAGGCCCTATTTCCTGTCTTCTGCTCTGTTTTCAAAGTGAATCAATGTTACTGGGAGGTCATTATGAAGCTCTAGCAAATGAATCTAATCTAGGCCCTTCCCAGGATGGGGAGCCTTCCTGCAGTTTATTTGGACCCTGCACATTGATACATGCATAAATAAGACCAAGGCAGAAAACTGACAGGACACAACTGAAGAGGTGAGCCCTCAGCAAGACCCATGAGACAGTAATGGGCTATCTAATAAGCTATAAAGTGATGTGGCAATCTTTCTGTAAGAGAGGGCAAGAAACAGCATGAAGGGATCCTAGCACTAAAGATAAAGAAGAACAAGGGATTTGGCTCTTTCTGGATCTGTCTGATCACTCCTGCTTTGGAAAAGAACGAGTACCAACTGTTTCCATCGGCGGAGGGCTCCATGCTGCCTGTCATGGTGTAGAGATACACTTGCCTTTGCCAGCAAACATTGGGGTTGGGATGGAGAGGGAAGGGGAAGGAAATCCACACATGGGCCACCAGCATCACTGCATTAGCATGAACCCTGTGAGCTGGTGAAATAGATTTCCTAACACCAGAGACACTCCTTTCTGGAAGACCAAGAGCATTGATGGGGATCCGACTTTCCTCTTGCTAACTATTCCAAGAAAAATAGGTTAGGCAGGTATCCCCAAGACTGATCCCGATCAAATTGTCCTACAAGGGAATGAGAATTCCAGTGGTTTTCTTTGCCAGTCAGAAAAGAGGAACTTTGCTCATTCCTGAAGGAATAAGATTATCATAAAGCATACAAATGCACACAGAACACAAAAGAAACGGCAGTGGACACCACACAGACCACTCATGAGCATCGCATCTCAAAAGTTTCTGATAACACATACATCAGCATAAGAATGCTTGTTATGAGCTGGATGATCACTGGCATACAAAGGGGAAAAAAAAAAAAAAGTCAAAACATTAACACGTAATTCCTAACCTGCTCTTCTTATACTGAGAGATAGTCTTAAAAGAAGCTAATACACTGAAATGTGGTGAGTAACTACTAGTGAGACAGTACTGATGCACACTGCCCTTTAGTCATAGTACCTTTACAGGCACAACACCTGTAAGCATTAGCGTTGAGGGAGCATTAGCACACCCTATCTCACACACAACATGAGGTTAAATTTCACTCATACAAAGAAAAAGTTCTCTGGCTGAAAATCTCTGTTGTGACTCACTGAGAAGTCTGTTGCTAAAAGGTAGGATTTTCAGTATCAGTACAAGGAATATAAAGAAATTTGCGTGCAATGGTAAAATTAGGAAAGCTTTCCTCCTATCAGTCAAATTGTCTATAGTTCCTCCTTGCAAGCCTAAGGAAATTGAAAAATGTAGAAGAAACATTTTAATATACAGCTCTTTTGGACCGCTCAGAAACACGATACCAACAGGTATTGAAATCCCCACGCCCTAAAAAACACAGGGGGTCTTGAACTAGGCATGCAAGTAGTTCAGCAACACTGATGGAGGGGTAGCACCACTCCGGCGCTTCACATAGCATACCGGTTCCTCGTCAAATACAAAATGCACTTCAAGGTCATGGTGTTCATCTTGCGAGTTCTCAGTGGGTCAGACCCACCTTACTGGATACCTCCTCTCCGGCTGGGCAGGGAAAGCACAATGACCAACAGTCACATTCACCAACGCAAACGTGGGCGCCACGAGCAATAGGGACACAACGGCAAGAGACTTCCAAGCCAGAACGCTGCAGAAGACACGGCAACGCACACAGGAGCGCAGTCCACCGCCCCGCGGAAGCTAACGAGGAGAAACTCTCAGCCTCCGGCCCCCAACCTGAGCACCAAAGCTGCACCACCAAATAACACAATGAAAACGCTCTCTTCTCCCTCCCCCTCCCCCCCCCCAAAAAAAAAAACA